AAAAAAAAAAAAAAAAAAAAAGCATTATTCCATTTACACACAGCACTTTGGCATTTTGTATTTATATAATTTCTCAGTTTGATTCACTATATAAATGTCTTTTCTCTTTTTTTTTTAAGGATATAATTGACACTGGCAAAACAATGCAAACCTTGCTCTCCATGGTCAAGCAGCATAATCCAAAGATGGTCAAGGTTGCAAGGTATGTATATGACATTATGACATGGGGCATTTTCTTCATTTGAAACAGGATTAAGTAATTGCTTCTTTGTAACGGTAAATGTGCTCGAGTCGTGTTGTCTTCAAAAAGTAATGTGATCTCAAATAAGACTCAGTAAATATCCTTTGTAAATAATGTTGTCATGTGTTAACAAAGCCCTTCATTGCAGTCATTTTTGCCTAATATCATTAACATTTGGTTTTTCAGCATACTGATAATGGTATCAACTTGTCCCAGGTAGCATGGTAGATGGTTTGGGACTCTCTTGGAAAAATGAGACCAAGGATCCCAAATTGAGGTTCGGAGGTGGCAGGAGGGGGATGGGTTCCGAGGTCCAGGTAGTGGCGACACGTGCCAGCCTCACCTCTGGGCCTTGCCTGTGCTGTTTGGCTTGTGCTTTCTTAGTTCTACCTTTGTTTGTAGCTTAATTATAATTGTATTTCATTATAATTACAGTGTAATCCCTGACAACTGGGAGATAGCACTTTACTCCCACTTTGCAGATAAGGGTACCAAGGCGTAGGGAGGTGGCCGAAGGCACACAGCCTGGCTAGCACACTCTAGAGGTGAGGTTTAAAGCCAGACAAGCCGGCTCAGAGTTCGTGCTTTACCGCCTTAAGTTTTCGGTAGGGTAACATCCCAGATGGTTTTTTGGTTTTTGTTGTTTTGTTGTTTTAGATTTTTGCAGTGTCAGCGTTTATTTTGAAATCATTGACCATGCTATAATTTTTCTGTGACAAGAGTGTATAATGATGCACTCTTAGGGCACTAGTACCCTGGAAGCCAATCGGGGCTCTTGCTTATTTCTCTACGTGCTCTTTAGGATTGTAGATGTCAACCTACTGTGACCTAGGATGTCCTGTAGCCTCTGAATGTTCCTTTGTCCCTCTTTCCCGGAGTATGCTGTGGAATTGAGAATGCCTCATGAAAGAGGGATTTTGTGTTGCTGGAGGTATGACGTGCTCAAAGAATAAATACTTAGGTCATTTCTTACTGATGCATTTGGCCTAAGTCAGTGTTTCTTAACCTTTTCTTCTTAGTCTCTCCCTCACCGGTGAATTTTAATATCTCAAATACATTGTATGTCTGTTTACAGTATGCGTGTATCTGTGCTTTATACATAAGAGTAAGCATGAGAGCTTATTTTTGTTATTCAGTGCAGCTTTAAGAATGACTAGATAACCATTTTAACTTAAAAGTTTAATTCAAAATGTAAGCACTATTGGGGCGCCTGGGTGGTGCAGTTGGTTGAGCATCTGACCCTTGATTTTGGCTCAGGTCATGATTCCAGGTGCTGGAATTCCAGGACCCTTGATTTTGGCTCAGGTCCTGCATCCAGGCGCTGATCATGGAGCCTGCTTGAGATTGTCTCTCTCTCTCCCTCACCCTGCCCCTCTCCCCTGCTCATGCCCTCTCTCTCAAAAAATAAAAAATAAAACACTTAAAAACTATGAACCGATAGGAATGTCAGACGGAATGGCTGCTTTGGCAAATAGTCTGGCAGTTTCGTGAGAAACAAAACACGTAGCTATCATAGGACTCCAGCATCTGCGTTTATCCCAGAGAAATGAGGACTCACGTTCTCACAAAAATTTGTATATGAAAGTTCATAGTGGCTTCATCTGTAATAGCCCCAAACTGGCAACAACCAAAATGTTCCTCAGTGGGTGAATGGCTAAGCAGACCGCCGTGCACCTTCTGTGGAGCCCCGCTCAGCGGGACAGAGGAGCGCGCCATTGAGCCACGCGGCCACTTCGCTGAGCCTCGGGGGGGTTGTGCTGATAAGAGCCCATCCTGAAAGCTCACCTCCTGTGTGAGTCCATTTACGCCACCCCCTTAAAGTGACAAAATGATAGAAACGGACAACGCATTAGTGCTTGCCGGGGTGAGGGGGGTAATGGGTGGGTGTGACTGGAAATAAAGAGGTGGACAGAGAGAGCCTCGTGTGATGGAAAGTTCTGTATCTTCAGTGTGGTGGTGGTGACATGGATCCACGCGTGTGATAAAATTGCCAAGAAGTATACGCACGTGCACACACACAAATATACGTGTGAATGACTGGTGGAATCTGGAGAAGGTCGGTTCCCCAGAGTCTGTGTGGGAACTGGTGGTGGCAAGCTCCTAGCGACGTGAGCTGTCAGCACTGGAGGAACCTGGGGAGAGGGCACGTAGGACCTCCCGTGCACTTTTGTGACTTCCTGGGGATCCATAATTATTTCAAAATGAAAACTTTGAAAAAGCTGTTAACGTTGGACTCTCTAGCTGCTTAGTAACTTTTAATACAGGTGTAGCTCATTCTGTTGTGCTTTGCCTCATAGCACTTTGGAGATGCTGTGCGTTTTACAGACTGAAGGCCTGTGGCAGCCCTGCATCGGGCAAGTCGGTGCGCAGGCGTCGTTCCTTTTTCCAATAGTATTTGCTCATGTCGTCTGTATCACATTTGGATGATTCTTGGAATGTTGCAGAGTTTTTCATTATTATTGTATGCTTGCCGTGGGGATCTGTGATCGGTGATTATGACTTCTGAAAGCTCAGATGATGGTTTTAGCATGTTTTAACAATACAGTGTTTTTAAATTAAGGCACGAACACTTTTTAGACATAATGCTGTTGCACACTTAATAGACTACAGCGGAGTGTAAACATAACTTTGTGCACTGGGAGACCCCAAAATTGATTTGACTCCCTCTTTTGTGATATTTGCTTTGTTGTGGTGCTCTGAAACCAAACCTGCAAGATCTCTGAGCTATGCCTATATAATTTACTCACTTCTACAGACTGTAAAAATTAAAAAAAAAAAAAAAAACAAAAAGAAACCTGTGTCGGTGTCCCATCCGTAGCAGTTCTGATGTATGGGTCAGGGGTGTGGTCTGGGTATCTTGAGTGTTGTTTTGTTAAAGTTCCCAGGTGATTCCGATGTGCAGCTAAGGTTGAGAATCGCTTCCTGTCCTTCCCAGGTTTTTAAATATATTTATCTAGGAAGGTATAAAATCATAAGTTGTGTCGGGACTGCCCTTAACGTGCGTAAAGGCTGTCGAAACACTGTCTGCAACTTTTCTTAACGGCTGAAGATTTTCAGCAGGTACTAGGCACTTGAGTTACAAGATTGGCTTATGTTGGAGGTGGCTTATCCCACCTGTGATTTTCGCTCTCAGAAGTAAATACTAGCTCCTCCAGCATGCTAGTTATATTTCAGCCTAAAGATCTTTGTAAGCCACGAATTAAAGGTCTCAAAAGGCGATGCTCACATCTCCTACCCCTTTGCAGCGTTAGGATTGGATTTCCAGGGATTCTGAACCACTCGTTGGCACTCCCCATCCATTCATCCTTCTGATTAGCTGCCCTTCGATGGGTGCACGGGCGCTCGGGGTGCCGCTCTCGGGACAGTTGATCGTGTTCCAGGCGGGGCTCAGTCAAGGGCCTCATCTGTGGTGTGAACTCACTGCTGCTCCTGCCCAGCGATCCCTGTGACCCAGCTCGCCGTTTCATAGTGTGCCTTGGGGTGTGTTGAAACCGAACGTAGTATATTCCACATGCAGGTGAAAGCAGGTTTCAGAGCACTATGTTCTCTTGTGTGGTGCCCTGTCATGTCTCCATATGTCACATGTTACATTTTGTCACTAACAGCTTGCTGGTGAAGAGGACCCCTCGAAGCGTTGGCTATAAACCAGACTGTAAGTGAATTACTTTTTGTCAATCATTGAACCATCTTTAACCCAAACGAGTTTTGTCGGAAATGGTGTAGAGTTACTTTAGAGAATATTTGCGGAGAAGGCACATTTGTAAGCATTGGATCGGAAAGTGATGTGCTGTATCTAAGTGATGAATTGCGATTCTTTGTAGTTGTCGGATTTGAAATCCCAGACAAGTTTGTCGTAGGATATGCCCTTGACTACAATGAATACTTCAGGGACTTGAATGTAAGTAATGCTTCTTTTCCTCGCTCTCATTTTTCAGAACCCGTATACAAATTTACGAAAGAGAAGAATTGTTTTCTCTTTCCAGCACCTCATCATTGGAACAGACTGATGGTTCCCATTAGTCACATAAAGCTGTAGTCGAGTGCAGACGTCCTGAGAGCTGGAACGTGGCCAGGCTAGCGCGACACTTCTTGCTGGCTGCAACAGTTGAGCAGCTTTAGTACACAGTAACTGTCCCATTATGATTGCAGATGATAGATGTGGTCATAAGTAAGAAATAAGCGAACTGGCTCAAGTCTTTGCACTCACTCTCAGATCCCTGCCTCTGCTCCATAGGCGGGAGGCCTGAGAGCGCGTTGGTGCACACGGGCGGGGGAGATTAGCCAGGCCGCGCGAACATCTGTCTGTCCAGCGAACAGCCCCGCGGCACGGTGCAGAACGCGCTTCTTGCCTTGTGTCGCAGAATACGCTTTTCTAATGTAGATTTCTGACTTTCTGTTTTACAGCACGTTTGTGTCATTAGTGAAACTGGAAAAGCAAAATACAAAGCGTAAGATGAGATTTCAAGTTGAGTTTGGAAGCGCCTGGAGTCCCCTTGGAATCACCAGTCCCGTGTTCTAGTTCTGTGGCCAGCTGCCTAGTAGAGCTTTTTGCATGTATCTCCTAAGAATTTTATCTGTTTTGTATTTTAGAAATGTCAGTTCTTTATTTGCACTATAAGCATATAGACTATCCGTTCCCTTTGGGTGGATTGGTGTTTGACTTGTGAATGAAAAATCTCTTAAACCACACCACTATTGAATGAAAATAATGAAATTGTATCTGTAAGAAACATTTAAAGAGAAGATATATTAGTTTTTTAATTGGTATTTTAATTTTTATATATTCAGGAAAGAACAGAAGTGATTGAATATTGGTAATTATACTACTGTGTATTTAGAAGAGGAAGAAACAGTTTTCCTATCAGTGACAGCATCTAAGGTATTGTTGTGTTGGATAAGCCATACGTCCTGGAATTATTTTACTGTTTCAGTAGTATCGACTGTATTTTCTCACTTGTTCAGATGATTTCCGGTGAATCTTTGTCAACAGTTCCTTTTAAATACAAATCTGCAAATTCCAGAAAACTTGACCACGTTTTGAATTCTTCAGTGTAAAAATCCTTACAATAAAGGCTGTCTCTTTAAAAGAAACTATGCATACCTATCATTTCTCTACAAATTAACCTAGTGTCGTTTTTTGTCCGTTACCTTTTCCTTGTCTGTTAAGTTTTAGCAGCTATTTTAGTTGTAATCTTTACCAAGCATAGCAAATACTGATTACCTGGTAGAGTGGGTTGGCAGAGCTAGTGAAATCCTTACCAACCTGGGGGACGTTAAATTTCCGACACATGGTGTACTTTATCACACCTCACTGTGTTAACGCAACACGGCTTTGTCTCGGAGTTGTGTTAGATGGCTCACATCGCAGTCTCGCATGCGGCTCAGCAGTCTGCCTGCAGACACGTGATGGTACCTTCCTCGTGTAGACAGGAATCTTACTGATTAAAGACCAGCAGCAGCAAAACCTCTTGTTTTCTGGGAGCAGGAAGAAAAGTTTGAAACCCAAACTCTCAGTGGCTTCTCTGCCCCAGGTAGGGTATGAATCGGCAACCCCGTGAGCCATCTAGCCGTATCGATGCCTTAAAAAGTTGCTGTAGGGGCGCCTAGGTGGCTCAGTCGGTTAAGCAGCCGACTTTGGCTCAGGTCGTGATCTCGCGGTCCGTGGGTTCGAGCCCCGCGTCGGGCTCTGTGCTGACAGCTCAGAGCCTGGAACCTGTTTCAGATTCTGTGTCTCCCTCTCTCTCTCTGCCCCTCCCCTGTTCATGCTCTGTCTCTCCCTGTCTCAAAAATAAATAAAACGTTAAAAAAAAAAAAGTTGCTGTAATTCCCGGGAGCAAAGTAGGGAAGAACTTTAAGTAATACCAAGTAATCATTTGTCGCAGTCCTAGAACTTGCAGAAAACCTTTTCACTTCCGTTCTCTCCTTTGATCTTCATAACCCTGTGACGTCGAGGTTGATGTTGGTGCACGCAAGTGGAGTACCCGCCGTGAGTCCCGATTCCTCTCCTCCCGTCAACACGTCACCTCCCGGTGGGCTACCCGATGGGCTGCGTCCCGCTGCTTCTCCCCCGCCACCTTTTCGGGTGCACTTCCCACCTCCGGTCAGGTTGAACCGTGTGAAATGACCGTTCTTGTAGGTAAAAAATTATTGGCTGTTGGCAATTTCGAGTGGTATAACGTAAAAACGTGCTGTGTTATCTACATTTGTATGTATTGCTTACTTTGTCTCCCCCATCCAAGTCTTCTAGAACTTGAGCCCCATTAGGGAGGCAAGAATTTTTATCTGTCTCGTGCACTGGTGTAGACTCAGTGTCTCAAAGTTATTGGGAACTCAGGTGATGTTGAATGGATGAATGGCTAAGAGCCCTGGGTTAGACCACCCTGACCTTTGCTTATTAGCTGTATGACATTGAGTGACTGAACCTTGGAACCCGTTTCCAGCTCATGAACGGGGGGAATGCTGGCTCTCCACAGGCATGCCGTGAGGCTAGTTAGATGCGGTAGTGCAGGTGACACAGGACAGTGTGGCCTGGGACCTAGCAAGGGCTCCGTGAACATTAGTTGATGCTGAAAGAAATGAATGTTTTGAGAACTTAGGTGCATGGCCGGTAAGTGGCAGAGAATTAAAATGAGATCTGTCTGATTCTTGCTACAGTGTCATGAAGAAGCTCAGCTGTTTTCCTCTGATTCACCAGAACTCCTTGGTTTCTGGTTGGGTGATGTTTGAGCTGCTTGGTAAACCCATCAGGAAGCCCAGTTGGCAGCCAGGAAGGAAGGCCCCACGAGCTCACACACTTTTCTTTTTTCTTTCTTTTTTTAAATCTTTTTTTTTTTTTTCAACGTTTTTTTTATTTATTTTTGGGACAGAGAGAGACAGAGCATGAACGGGGGAGGGGCAGAGAGAGAGGGAGACACAGAATCGGAAACAGGCTCCAGGCTCTGAGCCATCAGCCCAGAGCCCGACGCGGGGCTCGAACTCACGGACCGCGAGATCGTGACCTGGCTGAAGTCGGACGCTTAACCGACTGCGCCACCCAGGCGCCCCTTTTTAAATCTATTTTTAGAGAGAGAGTGCGGGAGGGGCAGAGAGAGACGGAATCCCAAGCAGGCTCCTCACTGTCAGCGCGGAGCCCAGCGTGGGGCTTGAACTCCCGAGCTGTGACATCATGACCTGAGCCGAAACCAAGAGTCAGACGCTCCACCCACCGAGCTACCCAGGCGTCCCTCATGCACTTTTCTCATAAGAGTTCTCAGCCCTTACTTCACCCGCTTTTCGGGCATACGCTTCTAATCATTTTATTTCTTTAACCAATTTACAACAGGTTACGTGTAGTCCGTTCATAAGATGACAGAAGGGACACACCATGGGAGCGTCAGTAATTTCTGGAATAACGGTCTGTCAGGGTAGAGGAAGAGCACCAACGGCAAAAAAGCTAAAGCCTTCTGGGGTCGCTTAGTCATTTAGAGGAGCAGATGGGCATACAGGGCACGCGTCAGTAGTCCTCGGCTGCACTTTCGTTACAGCCTTGTATAATAAGGGAGGTGCATGAGGAGAGGAAAGTGAAATGTCATTTGCTTGATTTTAGGAGATACGGGAACATGGAGTCTGTTTTAGGAATATTCCCACAGGGTGCCTGGGCGGCTCAGTCGGATGAGTGTCCGACTCTTGGTTTCAGCTCAGGTCACGCTCCTGCCGTTCATGAGTTCGTGCTGTGCTGACAGCACGGAGCCTGCTTGGGATTCTCTCTCTCTCTCTCTCTCTCTCTCTCTCTCTCTCTCTGTCTCTCAAAAGAAAGAAACTTAAAACTAAACAAACAAAAGGAACATTCCCATCCAAGGCAATGTTGGTGCTTAAGGAAGGGGTAAGCATCTCTCTTCCTTGGAAAATTCACGTGCACCTTATTCACTTCACTGCAGCCTCACTGCTTTTCTCTCAGTTCCTCAGACCTGCCAGTCCCCCCACCTTGCCTCAGGGCCTCTGTTACTGCTGTTCCTTCTGCCTGCCACTCCGTTCCCCCAGATCAGCCGGGCTGGCTCACGTACCACCCCAGTGGACCCTTCCCCGGTCTCCTCCAACAGCCTCAAAGTCGCCCTCTGCCACATTCCGTTTCACTTTCCTCGTGGCCCTCAGCACTGTCGGGCTGGGGAGGAAACAGTCCAGGCGGATGCGGTCTTGGCGTAAGTGAGACCGGCGCCACGCGGCTGCCCGCATCCCCAGTCCCACAGGATGACACCAAACCGGAGAGGGCGGATGACACAAGGGCTAGTTGCCCTGTCGTGGAGGAGCCGCCTCCACACCCCACTAAATGCTTTTCTAGCCGGCAGCTCTGTCCCCACTCGGGAGGCAAGGTGGCAGGTCCCATGGCTTAGCCCGAAGCGGGGGGCGGGGGAGGGATGAGAAACTGCCTCATGGCACAACCCCGCAACACGAGGTGGGTGACAGCCTCGGCACGGCTCCTCGCAAGGCAGCGCACCTTACCTCCTTCCTGGGAGGGTCACTGGGGTCGGATAGCGGTTGACTTTACGTGGCCCACGTGGTGACATCTGTGGCAGAGGGGTTCCCTTAGAAGCACCTGCCGATCGATCTTTCTCTGCTTCCTGCCTGGCTTCCCTAATAGACCTTGGGCCTGTGAGGGCAGGACCTCGCCGGTCTTTTCCCCGCCGCATTTCCAACATCTGCCTGGCTACTACAGTGCTAAGTATTTGTTGGATAAGTGACAGGAGCTCAAAAAGCAAATAAACTATTGAAAAATTCTATCTGAATCACCTAGAATTAGAAGCAAAATGCTCAGCATTTCAGGGTGAGCAAAAAAACCCAAGAAACAAAAAATTCTGTTTCTTGTTAATACCAGCTAATACTGAATGATTACCATATGGAATGGAGTCATACTAAGTAAGCACTGTTGAATCTCTATGATACCCCTATGAGGCAGATTGTTTTGTGTTTTTAAAAGATGTTTATTCATTTATTTTGAGACAGAGAGAGAGAGAGTGTGCGTGTGCATGCACGCAAGCAGGGGAGGGGTGGAGAGAGAATCCCAAGCACGCTTGTGCTGTCAGCACAGAACCAGACTGAGTCCCCATCACACAAACCTGGAGATCACGACCTGATCCCTTATCAGGTCAGATGCTTAAGCGACAGCCATCCAGGCGCCCCGAGGCAGATGTTTTTTGATCATCCCGATTTTGCAGATGAAGAAATGCAGGCCCAGAGAGGTTGCGTAATTTGCCCAGGATCACACAGCCAGAAGGGGCAGATAAGGAATTTGAACCCAGGCAGAACCAGTTCTTATTCCAGAACCTGCCCTCTTAGTTCATTGCCACTTAACCGTTAATGCCCAGCTTTTATGTGCAAACGAATACACTGACAGCATAGAGAAAAATATTAAGCTCATTGAAGGTAATAACTCCAAATGACTTGAACATTAAGCAGCTTTTTGAGGTCACAGCCGATCACTAGGAATGTAAACTGACTTCCTCCAGCGCTAGGAACCCTTTTCAAAGACAGTTACGGAGTTCTTCCAACGTGATCTTCAAGTTGTTCTGCTGGCTCCTTTTACGATCCCATGGGCAGCTTCAGACAAAATAACTTCCTGGCATGAAGGATTGTGTGTGTGCTCTTTGCCATTTTGAATGTGAATTTTATAGATACTTCAAACCACTTGAAAGAGTAATGATTTTTTTTAATGGTTTTTCATTATTATTTGTAACTTCAAGCATTACTGGTAAAAACTGCCAGATTCTTTCAAGTTTTCTCTTTACACGATCTGGGTGCACTTCACAGCGAGCCTCGTCGTCGTGACTCATGACCGGAGTGACTTTCAACCTTGGTGGCTTTACAGCGAAGCTCCCTTTCCCGACATTTTTTTCTCTTTCCTTCATTACGACGACCTTTGCGAGCTATGGTTCAGTTATATCGCCCACGGCTTCCCCTGGAGCCCCGGGCCAGAATCAGCCGTCACCTCAAGGAGCCCCGGCTGGTGTTGAAGAACGGCGTTAGACACCAGGATGTGGCACTGAGGTGTCCTCACTACCGCTGGGGTGTCCCTGCCTCCGGGTCCTCCTAGTGGGCAGAGCTAGAA